ATCCTAAAAACTCTAATATACTGTAAAAAATGTAACTGTCTTATCGAAAGGTAAATTTATGATTTAAATTTTATGAGCTTGAATTCAATATTTTTTTATTATCGATTTAAGTTATTCGATTCAAGATGCATTATTAATTTTTATTTAATAGATTCAAACACTTGAAGAAAAATTATTATATATATTTGTATGGCATGTTTGTACAAGATCAATTTGTACTTCCTTGCTCTTGAGTTCTTTGTACTATAAATATCAAAGGGGAAAAAAAGAGAGTACAAACTACTATTTAATTTGTACTATAATATATTTGGTAAATGTTGGTTGCACAAATTAAAGTTGGTGCAAAAAATCATTATTATATTTTGAATATAATTACAACGTGTTAGTCAATCGAGCACCATTTGTTTAGGTAAAATTTAATCCATGGGTTTGAAAAGAAAAGAATGTTTCTAGAAAAGTATATATTTGATTAGAAAACATCAAATATGAAACAATTTTTTTTAATTTCATTTTTCACATTTTATATCGATGAAATTTTACTGGATATTTTTTTTTGTTATTTTATTTCTAGGATAAAGTTTAATAGAGTTATTTTACAAATAATTTTATTGTCGTAATTAATAAATCAAATTTTACACTTTGACTTTGAAAAATATACCTCTTCCGTCCATATTTCTTTCGTCTAGTATATTATATTTCTTCAATTTTATTTGTCTAATTTCAACTTTTAAAGTTTACACGCTAATAACAAAACAAAATAAGATATATCATGTAAATATATATCTTATCCATATCTTACACAAAATAGAGTGATTATCTCTTATGAAATTTAACGATTAACGTGGTAATGCAATATTAGTTGGAAAGAGATTGTTAAGTCAATTTTACATTTCCAAATTATATGAAATTACTCAAGATTAATTAATCTTTCCAATTTTCAATGAATAGACTACACAAAACTTATGTGTAGATTGAAAATTTTGGAAACATCTATCAATTTGTTCATTAATTAATTAATTAGCTACTAATCTCAATATCATGTGGTCATTATGCTTACAATATTATCATTATAAGCAGCATGAGAAAACATATAGTCCACAATTAAATTTGATTAATGCATTTTGAACCACTATTTTTCCATATGTTTTTAATAATCTAATTATGCATATTTAAATTTTGATTCAAAATTATTAACTTTTGTCAAATCGTAATTTTAATGATGGCTCCACTCTTGAGCGTAAGCTATTGACACTTAAAAATCTTTTGTCAAATGTCATTATTCAATATTTTTTTTGGGTAATATTATCTGTATAAAAAATAAACTATTCATTAAAAAAGAAAAAATTATTAAAAGCTAGACACATCTAGAGAATTACTTTCTCCGTCCGAAATTGTTTATCATGTTGCGCTTATCGAAAGTCAATTTGAGTAATTTTCAAAAGTAAATTAGATCACATAAATTTGATATTTTATACAAAAAAAATAAATAAATATTCTAAAACTATATGAAAAGTACTATTAATTACAATGTTAGCATATTAATATGATGAAAAAGTATATTTTAAAATGTTAGTCAAAGTTTTTATAGTTAGACTCTAAAAATAGAAACCATGACAAACAATACCGGACGGAGGGAGTATGTCTGAAGAAAAAATAAATGGTTTGATTATATTATAAAGGGATAATGCATAAGTACTCCTCAATCTACGCTCGAAATCTCAGAGACACACTTATACTATACTAAGGTCCTATTACCCCTCTGAACTTATTTTATTAATAATTTTCTACCCCTTTTTGGCCTACGTGACACTATCTTGTGGGCCAAACGCTGATTGACTTTTTTTCTAGAAGTGACTTTTTTAAATTAAAATCGAATCTTTTTTGACGGAAAATTGTACTATTTATACATGGTTAAAATAATAATTTATGTAAATATAGTAGATGTTGAACCTCCCTTCAACTACTCAGTGTGTCTATTTTTACGAACTTTGAACCTCCTTATTGAAAATTCTAACTCCGCCACGCTATCCCCGATTACGAATAGCTTCTTTTGTGTTGATAAGCGCTTGATTTCCTTAGTGATATCAAAATCAAGAACTAATAACAACATATTGCATGTATGACAAGTGTGGAAGGGAGATTGTTAGGTAACACCAATATTCTATCTATGAAGATTGAAGAGACCTATGGTGCTTGCTTTGAATTTGATATTACAAAAATAAATTTTAGTCCTTTTCATTAACTATATACTATAACTTTTGGTGTTAATATGAATAAAATTTGATTCTAACATACTTATTTTTCAAAATAGTTTTGAAAAAAGATTGGTTATCCTTGCTTAGCTTCCTTAAATTTTTTTTCCATGTCCTCAATTATTTGATTATACGACCACTCTTCGCAAACTATAGTATCCCCAAAAAGTGTAGGGGTATATCTATTTGGAACTATATACAACTATTAATCATTATGAAAGTGTTAGGAGTTATAAGGACATTGAAAATGAAATCGGAATATGACACCTCTTGACTTTTATGTAACTTTTTGGGAGTGGCGGATTCAGTTTTAAAGTTATAAATTTAACAGAATCTATTAATTTTAATCTAACTTAATTTTTGTATTTGTTTTAGCTTTTTCGAATAAATATAAATAATATATAATGAATGTAATAAATATAAACAATTCAAAGTTCAAAATCGATAATTAAAAATTCTAATTCCGCTCGCCATGGAATCAAAGGGAAATAGTAATAGTAGTAGGAATTGCCTAGGGCAAAAATAAGAAAAAAAGAGGTCCCTATGTCTAGAGTTTGACAAATTACAACCAAGTGTTTTTAATGCTTTGCTTGGCCAAGAAGAAGAAAAAGGTCCCCCATAGGCAATAAGCTTATCAATTTTAAGGGGGGGGGGGGGGAATTATCATAATTTGTTCATATACAATTGTTTATTGAATATAAATTTATGGTTAGCAAATTATGTGAAATTGTGATTCAAAATTTTCAAGAAAAAAAAGTATAAATTTATCTATCAACTTCCGATTTATGATTCAGAACTTACCCTCAAATCGAAGCTTTATTACAAATCAAGGACAGTGTTTTCTAACCGTGAGACTAAATTAAATTGAAAAAAAATTAGCTTACAGTCATTCGTTCAAAATCGCTTAAATGAAAAATAACTTAACAAATGTATAATATACGTATAATTCATGTTATAATTAGTGTATATCCATATATAATTAGTGTATATCTCCACAAAAAAGAAGAGTAAATTTTGATCACTAAAATTTTGAGAAAAAGAAATGAAGAAACTTATTTGAAAACTTTAATGACTTTTGTACAAACCCTAAAACATTATGATATATCCCCACAAATGAAACCGACCTATATATATAGATTGTTTTTTCATAAATAAATATATTAGCTGTTAGATTTGTTTTTTAAGATTAAAAAAAAAATAGAAAAGAATGGTATTGTGACACTAAATTTACAATTTTGGATTGTCCCCTTATCAACTAATTTGATTTGACTGAATTATTTTCCCCTCCACCCAAAACACAAAAAATGAGAGGTCTTGTGGATAATTAATGTAATTCTTCCAATAAAACTCATTTAGATTAGGTTTAGATTAATTAAAAATAACATATCATTATCATAGCATAATGTTTATTTAAGAGGAATACATTTCTTGTCATAATTTTCTTTATATTTTTGTATTACTTGAACATAAAAATTTCTGATTAAGGATGAAACGATTCTATTCATAGTATAATTTGTTTTGAAATATTTAATGTTCTTAAAGACTACGATTTTATTTGTGATTATTTTGATAGAGGTCTAAAACAGAATTATCGAGACATTACACGTCTCAGTATATTCGTTTTCATTAATATTTGGAGCACTTAATTGGTCTTAAGAGGTCTTAATCATAAAGATATAGAACATAGTCTTAATATCATTAAAATGTATTCTTGTGTAGATATTATTCACCAACACTTTATTCACAATCACTCGACACACCACTAACCACCTCTTCCATCACAATTACAAGTTACAACCATCACCACCGCCGTTATCTCAAGTTACCATCAACCACTTCAGCTATCGCAATTACCACTTTTGCTAACGAATACTGTCAGCTGCTACCACACTTGTCTTCTTCAACATTATATATACTTAAATCAACTGTCACCATCACCATCACCACTGTATCTGTAGTCACCCCACCTCCCCACCACTACTATGACTACAATCAATTCCTAATAGTGACAAATTACGCCACACAACCAGCACCACCCCCAACTACCATCATATATTTTTCAAACACTATCATAACCATCGTCATTTCGACTATTATTATCAGACACTATTAATGTGGTAAATTTCTACTGGCAACAACCTCCATTATCATAACTAATACCACCACCAACTATAGCAAACACAATATCCATCACCACATATTTTTCAGTCATCACCATTAACACGACCAACTATAACATCAACCAACTTCACAATTACAACCACCAACACTACTATCAATCACCGTCATTATGATAGTCACCACAAAACCAACTACCTTCGTCTTCATAACCATCACCATCATCATTACTACCAACGAACAACAACTATTCCCATCATCACCACACTACAAACTATCTCCACCATCATTAGCAAGCATAAATATTTCATTTTTAAATCAAAATATTAATTTTATTTTATTGATTGTCAATACTTAATTAGTTTTTGTTTGATTTGCGTTTTTATTATACATATGAATAAATTATGTATACTCGATTACTGAAAAACAAACGTTTTAAATATCATTTAGTGTTCAAATTTAAAGACAACATATTATTCAGATGTACATTTAAATTCAAATATCTAAATTTTAATAAAAATAAATGAGGTCTTTTAAGAGGTTTATTGAGGGACATGTTTAAGGGTGATATTAAAAATAGTTTAGGAAAAACACTTTTATAATTAAATCTATTAAATTAAAAGTAATATTCTTTGACTAGACTTTCTAATTGCATTTTTTTTTTACTTCAAAATAAATTTCCTTCTTCAAATACCATGTATTCTGATACTGGGCTTCTTTCTAAAAGCCCACATTAAACATTGGACCCATTCTTATTGGGCTTCAACCTTATTGTGCATTGGCTCAAATTCGGTTAGCTCAAAGCCCTTTGACCCGATCGGCGTCCGGCGGGTCTCTTCTCCGGCACGGTAATCGGAACTTCCAGCACTCCTTCCCTCAACAATACTTTTGTGCTTCCGCAGGTAATTTCTTCTCCTTTGTCTTGAACTTAACTTTTGATGAATAGAGTTATTGGTACTTGCAGCTAACGGGGAGGTGACAGGTATCCGTAGAATAAGTTGAAATGAGAGAAACTATTATGTCAAACTTTGAAGTTTTGTGTGGTTTAATGAATTTGAATTGCTGAAAGTTGTATAGAAATTGAATGGTGTAATACATTTTTTTGGCAAAAAGGAATGAGTATGATACTAATTGGAAGAGTATTAATGAGAGGTTCCATCAAGGCACTGATAGTTGATTGCTATATAATGAGATTTTTTTTATTGTACACACTATCGTCCCGAGACGCCACTTGTGAGATTACACTGTGTATGTTGTTGTAGTTGTAAGTATGGTAAACTTTTTATGCAAGTATCAGCATCAAGAGTATGCTGTACATCAAAAGAAGTTCTTACAGAAGTACACAATTTGAGTATATCATGTATATTTGCCTTGTCGTTCCAAAAGGAAAAAGCAAGGAAACACAATGAGATTTAAGACTAAGTTATTTTTGTTGTGAAAAAAATCTTGAGTTTCTATCTCTCTAAATAACCCACCAAATCGTTGCTGGTATTGTATTCCAGAGTCTTGAATGTATGCCCCTTAAGTCCCCTCTGGTGCCAGCTTTGTAGTAGATTGTATGCATCTGTAGGCATTGTCTAGTTCAGGCCCAAAACTATTAAAAAACATGTAGCACAATTGAGCAGTTATTTTTAAATGCAGAAATAGATGGTTAGTGTCCTCTGGCTGCTCTTCGCATAGTGTACATCTACAGCAAATGTGCATTCGTCTTCTTTGCAAATTTGACTGTGGGAGACATGCATTTTTTCGCCTACTAACCAAGTGAAGATCTGAACTTTGTAAGGGGCATGGCATTTCCGAACTTTCTTTCCAAAGCCAAATTGATGTTGCATTTTGTAGATTGAGCAGAAGGGTGTAGCATGATTTGAGTGTAAAGATCCCATCTTTTCTTTCCCTTCCAACATATGCTGTTTTTCTTGTCTGTAGAAACAGTTACTATTTGTAGTAAGAAACAAGTGCTCTATAATTCTCAACCAACTTGAAATATGTTTTGCTTGTAAAATCAGAAGCAAATTTTTGTTCTTGCCTGTATATGTATCTGTATATGTCTCTACTTATTTTACGAGATCTTACATTATTTTTATCGGCATTAGTTCGGCAACTTGGGCAGACCTTAGGCGGGTACTTCTTGGAAGTCGAATAGAGAGCACCAACCCAGGCCATAAGAGCCTTCTGATCGACTCATTGACCCCGTCCATGTAAGTCTGTTTTTGTGCTTATTGTTCTCACTGAGCCTTAATTTAGGGTAGTATTTGCCTATACATGCGATAATCATTGTTTTATTTGAAAAATTTAAGGCATTATCTAATAGGGGTTGGGTAATTTGGAGCACACCGAGGGTCGTTGTTATTTTGGGTATTGTAGGTGTATAAAGGTCGAGGAGGTTAAGGATGCTATTCGTAGGATGAGCAAGGGAAAAGTGTCTGGGCCTGATGATATACCGGTAGAATTTCGGAAGAGCATAGGCAAGTTATTTGATGTTGGTTTTATTGTTCTGCAATTATGAGCTTGACACACGGATCTTACCTTGTTAGAGGAAAAGAGATTTGTTGAAACTACAAAGAACGTCTTGGTTTTGGCATTGTGAGAGGAGTGGAGAATGATTTCCAGGTTATGATTGCTCATACAATCCTTTAGTTGCATTGATCTTTAACATTGGTAGTGTGTTCGGCAAGAAGAACATTGTGACTAATTTGTAGAATACTATGCTAGAGGTAATGTTCTAGGCCCTGCATTCACAACTTAAAGAATTAATAAAGCAAGACAAGGGAAAATATCTTCTTTTCAACTGCTTTTATTGCAGAGAACCGTATTGTTCTTTTACTACTTCTACTATAGGAATTTCCCACCGCATCTCTTACATTATAAAAAAAAGGAATTTGTCATCCCATTAATATAAAAAAGTTACTTCATCAAAAAAAAATATCATTTTTTTAGTATTCCTTGACATATCAACTTCTTCGTGTGTTTTGCGCTTAAGGGGAGAGCCCTATATACACAGTTGAAAGTTGTCTGCCATTGTAGCCAGATGTGTCTGCTAATTGTTGTATGCTTGTCATGAATCTCACCTCTACTGACTGCTTATATATGTATATATTGGACAATTTCATTTCATTTGGAGAAGTCAAAAAAAGTACCAAGACCTAGACAAGTATATAAATATTGGATTTGTACAAAGACTAACCAGAAACTTAATCTAGCCAGTCTGGGATGTCATGTATGCTAATTACAGTATCATTTTTATGCCAGCGAAACAAATTTTGTAATCAACTATATTTTATAACAGGAATCAACTTCTCTTTCCCTTAAAACGTCTCTTGTTCCTTTGTTGCCAAACTGTCCAAATGATGCATAAAGGAATAAGCTTCCGTATCATCTTCATCCTTTTCTTCATATACCGTCCTTGCTAGCTGTTCAATAGATCCTTAATGAAGATTTCAAGTCCTAAAAATATTGAATTCCCATGTCTAAGAAGCAGTTAACAGATGAAGATGTCCAAAGCTGGAGGAATATTTGACTTTTCACTGTCAGTCCCCACTTTCTTGTAAGATATTTAGATTCTCTGGTTTTGGCCTTTATCCATGTAAGGTTTATAAAATTTTGAGGTTCTAGGATCAATGGTAAAGTTGTCTTCGTGTGACCTATAGGTCACGGATTCGAGCTTGGAAGCAACCCTTAATGCTTGGATTAGGTTAGGTTGTCTATTTACACCCCTTGAGGTGCGACCATTCCCCGAACCCTGTTAACACGGAATGCTTTGTGTACCAGGCTGCCCTTTTTTTTTCTGGATCCATAGGTTCATTAAAATCTTTAGGAGGGGTTGAGTCACGAAGTAAAATATGCTTAGCTAAATCATTAAGTTCCATGAATTTGCCTTTTTCTTGCAGAAAAGAAGATAAAATTAGAACACAATACTAATGCTTATCTTTTTCACAATTTACTACATACAATACTATGCAATGGATATCTGATGACACGACAAAGAGTAGCAAAAGTTATTTGGGCAGCCAAATGAACATCTGTAAATTCTGGAAATATATAAAAATAATGAAACACATTATTACATTGAAACCTTTAAGCTCTTGTAGGGCCTAACTTTTAAACAATTTAGCACTTGCATACTACTAGTATACTAGTTGGGCATGGTTCTCACTGTGTCCTGCATGCCAGTGGCATCCTATGTTCACCGTATTTTCTAATTGGGGACGAATGTTCCAACATAGCCAATTCCAACAATGAAGAACGCTCCTGCTTGGAGGAACAGGTAGATGAAAAAGTGGTCATTTCCAAATAGCATGTTGTATATAGCACAGTGTAGCATATACATTCCCATTAGCAGCTCTAAGACGTGAATCCTGTTTGCAAAACCATAGTGCAGGTTACAGTCAGAAATTTGCAGGATAGAGAACACTTTGATGTTTAACCAACTTCCTAGGGAGTGAGAGAACTGTCAAATGATATCATGATTACCTTTCACCTATCCTTGATCTTGGTTTCTTTGATGCTTTGGCACTGTACTTTTGCTTCATCGTGTTCCCCAGCTTCTCAGTTACAACCCATTCATTTACTCGGCTGGCTTCTAAGAGTCCTATTATTGCTGCCTTGGATCGATGGAGAGACATGACATTCTCAAATAGGATCCAGAATACAAGAAGATGGAAAGATCTGTGTGGAAACCAATTAAGGTGTATTAAATTATTGTGCTTGAAAAATATAAAATGGAAAAACAGAAGGACGATTTCTGAGTTCAGTTTCGTGAGTTTACATACCTTGGTGTGCAAGCGGCATTAAGAATGGTAATAGTTGCTGGAAGATATATAGCTAGAGGCTTTGTAAGATGGACTTCAGGCACCAAGATAGTTGCTGGAATGACGATACAGTAAAAGAAAAACGTAACCCAGTGTGCAATAATCTTCCTCACAAAGAAGAAACCATAGATGAGATGAAACTTCTTCCATACTGATACACGCTGCGTTTAAAAGAAAAGGTGTGATGTGTGAATTGTTGACAAAATAACTTTTTTTAATAGTATAAATTCTTTTTTAAATAGTGATACCTCACAAAGGATGATTTCTTTAATCATCTTGCGAAAGAGGTTAGCTGGGCCGCATGACCAGCGGTGCTGCTGAAATCTGTAAGCCTTGAAGGTACTTGGGAGTTCGTTCTTGACCTAAATGAACTATGTTAGGCATCTGATACATAGAGGCGTATAGTCATTGCCATAAGTAAGAAGATTGAAGTTATGAACTCACAGCTAAGTCGCCCACAAACAAAAATTTCCAACCCTTCAGGCTCGCCCGTACTGCAAGATCCATATCCTCTACTGTGGTCCTGTCTTTCCATCCGCCAGCATCATTCACTGCTCGAATTCTCCACACGCCAGCAGTCCCTACAATTCAATCCAAAAAGCTAATTACATTCTTAAAATAATGTCTAGCTGTTAAATGCCTGTATATGGAGTGAGATCTGACTATTTGTTTACCATTGAAACCAAAAAATGAACATGTGGATGAGCCAACTTCTTGCTCAACACTGAAATGATAGTCCAGTGACATCTCTTGAAGTCGAGTCATCAGACATTCATCTGCATTGACTGTGGAAGGATTTTCACTTACATTAATAACCAAGAAAGAACCAGAAATACGACTGAAACCGGTAATCCTTTGTCTATGTATGATTTCATGACAAGTTCTTTGAGTGAGTAGAAAAACATAAAAGAATCCTCTTATCATAGAACGGAGACAATCAAAGTTTATTATCATAAACATAGTAATCCGCTATTCATTAATTTTTACCTCTTCCAAACAACTTTAATTTTGTTTGTTTTTGAGGTCATGAACAATTGTTCAGTGTGTGTATGGACATAATGCAGTCTTTGGCCTTACCAAATTTCCATCTGGCTTGAACCAGAGCCAGTTCTGGGTTGTCGATAAGATATGGTATGGTTCTCCAAAGAAAGTCTTCTTCAGGCTGAAAGTCTGCATCAAAGATCACAACATACTCACAGTCATCAACATACTGCTTCTTTAGACCCTCCTTGAGAGCACCAGCTTTGTAGCCATTCCTGTTGTTTCTTGTTTCGTATTTCACATTTATCCCTCTCTCTATCCACTTTCGACATTCCAAGTCCACTAATGTCTGCAATTATATTCTCAAACATTAGTTGGCATTCAGAAGATTCTTAAGCTTCTCTCTCAGATAAAGTTGAGTTGAAAGTGATACCCGTAAAACTTCGTTGGTAGAGTCATCAAGAACCTGCACTACAAGCCTATCTGATGGCCATGACAAGCCACATACAGCACCAATTGAGAGCTTGTAAACCTGATAAAGAAAAATAAGATGATAATCTAATTAAGAACAATAAGATGATAATCTGATAATGAACAATAAGATGATAATCTGATAATAAACAATAAGATGATAATGGTTCTTATAGTGTAGAGAAAGTTCATATCCCTATTCGTATGCTATTCTAGTTGGGACTACTTTCAAATGTGTTTTCTTGTTGTCTACTTTTGATCCTCTTTGATCAGGACTCAGAGCAAGGCGCAAAACTCTGTGCCTTTATTTTATACGCTCCTAAATATTGTTCCTCATTTGACTAAGCTAGAGGTTAGAACCTTGCAGTCAATATGCTATTGATATATTATTAAACTTATTTTTCTAACTGCAGAAAATATCTAATTTATTTCCATTGGTTTCTTGATGCTCATTGTAGTTTATCTTCTTATTAAGCTATGTATGTCTTTAACAGTATTGGATGATTAACATAAATCTATAATTTCTGCAATCAGTCAGTATATTCTACTGGTGAAAACTGTCCATAAACTATCTTGCTCCTTTTTTAATTTATAAACAGATGGACAATAAGCTTCCTTCCTTTCAATGTCCCGACTTACATCTTGGTTTGACCTTGTTGACCAATTAACATTGACCTTTTAGATCTATTTAAATCATTTGGTCTCTTGCTATTAAAATCATGGCTTTGTAGCAGTACTCAACAGGGAAAAGCTTAGATATATATCTTGACAAAAGTTTTGTTAGCTTAATTAGTAAATTCTGACTAATGGTTCGGGATTTATATGAGAAGGGAGTAATCTCTTGGTATCTATTTGTTCATTTAAGAAATTTCCCATATTGTTGGTGTAATTTTTATTTTATAATTCTTTCTGGATGATCGGTCCAGGTATGGGGAAGTGTAAGATGAAGGGTGAGAGAAGAACAAATATTGTTCCTCTAGCATTGAAGGTAAAATCCTCCCATGAACTTTCAATTGATACTAGGATATGGTTGTATGCTCTTTGTTGTTTCTAGGTTTTTGATTATTGGTGTCGTGAGAAATGAAATTGTATTTTCTTTTTTCTGATTCACTCAATTTATTTCAGTTTTGGGATCATTGTATGTTTGTGATTTATTCTCTAAAAATTACTCTCAAGATGGAAAAAATATAACCACTGATCAGAAAAAGAAAGGGCGATGGAAACAGGCATATTTGTAGTTTCTTCTAGGAAAAACTGAAACACAAAGCTAAACAATAATTATTTATGCATAACTTTAAATTTCTGGAACTTGTACTCAAGTAAGGTATGTACCTCCTTTTCATTGAACATAGGAATTTGGACCAACACCATTGGGTAGTTTTTGTTTTTCTCTAGGTCTTCTTTTACGGACTCGAGCTTATACTTGGTATATCTTTTCTTTCCAAAGCACTTGACCCCTGCTATCACTATTGCCATGTAAATACGCTCAAGAAATAGCATGACGGACATGGCTATGCATATATACATTGCAAGGTGTAGGGCAGGCACTACAACTGGAACTCGTATTCGCTCCCAAGCATGATTTAGACTTTGAGTAGAATTGGTGCTTACTCTGATCCCAGGATCTTGGAAAACGAGATTTCTCATGGTTTGTCTCGACCTGAATTCAGAGTTTAGTTAGGGAGCAGAGCACTTTAGGTTGAAAGGAACGAGCTTGCCCTTGCAAGTACATAGAGATGGAGGGAAATTGTGGTGAAATTTAGGATGAAGGTTTTGCTGCTTTAAATAAAGATGCAGTGTGATTGTGGTGAAGGTGACGATAGTAAATGGAGATGAGCTGGAGTGGTATTGTAGATTGAGTAATCCATTTAAATAAAGTTCTTTCATGTGAGAGACACACGGTCTACATGCAATGAAGGTGCTGCAACGTATCATTGTGCTAGCTGGATGTTTGGCTTTTCCCTCCGACAATGCTGTTGGAGGATCTAAACATAAATATACATGTTAAACCTTTGTATTCGATAATGAAGATTAAGTTTTGAATGATTATTATCTATTTACGTATCTAAATAGAAGCGTGAAAGAGATTTCACCTGAATTTCACCAAAATGCTTCTTAACTCCTCGAGTCTTTAGTATAACTTGTTATCTTCTCTCACTATTGCCTTTATCCTTTTTTTAGCTCCTAAGTTACTCTGATTTCATGCTTTCTTTTTGAGAGTATTAGTGGTAATTCTGACTTGAATCAGAAACAAAATAATTATCTTAGTAGGACTACGTCGTTTTATCCTGTCACCGACATCACTGATTGCTTTTGAAATCATACTATCAAATAAATGAAAATTGCAAAGTTTGCTTTGAAGTTTACAGCTGGCCTAACTCTGTTTTTTCTGGATGTAGAACCATGAAGTGATGCATATATCTAGCCTCAAAGACACCACACAAGTTTGGAATCATGTGAATATAGAACACAACACGTTTTGAGCACATCCAACGTTACCACCGTCATCAACTCTCGCAATGTCATCTAAATTGTCGATTCTTGTGTGGGACACTTGCAGTCCCAAGTCACGATGGATATGTTAGTAAGTGGTTGGCTTTATTTAAATGTTTATAAATTACCTTGTGAAGGGTGACTTCCCTAATTATATCATGGCTGTCGGTAATTCTTTAGAAAGTAGGAAGTTTGGTTTAAATACGTGCCACTTGTTGATTGCAATAAATTTCTAAAGTTATGCTATGTCCGATTTTGTTTAGGGCAATAAATTGTTGGTTAAATTGGCTGATTTGGTTATTCAATTTGTCAACTTTCCTACACCAAAATGTTGTTAAGTTGAAAATTATAAGCAACTTTAATCTATTAGTGACAAATGTCATGGTAAAAACTTAGCCGCGCTGGATATTTGCGCAAACCAATGAATGCAAGACATGTACAACGACATACCTAGTGTAATTCCACAAATGAGGTCTAAAAAGAGTACAGTGTACGTAAACCTTACTCTAACCTTTGAGGTAGAGAGGTTGTTTTCGGTATATCTTCGCCTTAGGAGAAGGAAGATCAAAAAGGAAAAGAAAAATGAAAGTGAAGAAATCATGGCAAAACCTATTAAAAGCATGATAAAGTATTATTAAAATATAAGAACAGAAATTACAACAAAATAGTGTGATAAAAGTACAAGAGACCGAAGTTGCTCGGACTCGGGTGCGGGTGTCCGATACGGAAGTGGATCTAGAGGTCGGGTCATTCATGATCTACTCAGGGATATGGATACGGATGTGGATTCGCCTAAAAATAATTAAATTATCTTTAAAATAGAGTTATAAAACCTAAGTTATGAGATATTACGTAGAGAACTTGAGGAGAATCTGGACAGTGATTAAAGGAAAATGAGTGACATAGAAATTCTATATAAAAGGTATTCCATTTTCTTCAATTTCACCTTAGCTTTTCTATTAATTACAGAAAGCATTAAAAAACTGTTTGGACTTTCCCCATCAATTTTGGTCAAAGTACGCAAAATCGGTTGACCAAATCGGACACAGATCCCAACACCTACCCCACACCCACACCCATGTCGTGTTGACACGGGTGTGACACCAAAAGTGAAAAGTCCGAGCAACTTAGCAAGAGACAATAGATGATGATAGAAATTGAAGGACAAGAAACTACCTGAGAAACACTACGATTACTAGTATGGAAGGATAAATGAGACAACACTCTACTATCTACTAATCTTCTACCATAGTTCGTGCCCAACATAACAGTGTAATCAAAAGCAAAAAGCGCAAAAAAACTCCAAGGTTCATAGGGGCTTTAAGCGCAAATAAAGCATGAGATTTATTGAGAATAGGTGCAGATGGAGAATATATATATATATATGTGTGTGTGTGTGTGTGTGTGTGTGTGTGTGTTTTGTCCATGACTAACAATTGTAAGCATGAATAACAAATATATGAACGAAGAAATTGATTGTTTTTATGATTCATTGAAATATCAATGGTTTAGTGTTGCCTTTTGGGAAATGCTCATTCACAAGGGAAGAGCTTTGATGACAACACCTGGCGCACATTAGCAAGGTTAAACAGTCAACGCAATTTGAGCCTCTCTTCAGGGCTTAAGCACGCCTTTATAACACTGCTCCACAACCTCCTATCTAAGGTCATGTCCTTGTAAGGCTCAACTGTGTCATGTCTTGTCTAATCACCTCTCCCCAATACTTCTTCGGTCTATCTCTACCTCTCCTGTAATCATCCATAGCCAAAAACTTTAACGCCTCAGAACAAGCGCATTCATGCATCTCCTCTTCACATGTTTGAATCGTCTCAGTCTCGATTCTTGCATTTTTTCCTCCACCGAGGCTACTCCTACCTTGTCCTGAATATCTTCATTTCTAGTCTTATCTTTCTTAATAAGCCCATACATCTGCTGCATCATCCTCATCTCCACAACCTTTGATCTTCTAAATATGAGAGCTCTTGACTGGCCAACACTCTGCCTTATACAACTTAGTTGGTATTAACCACTTTATGGAACTTACCTTAAGTTTTGGTGGCATCTTTTTAATACTCCGGATGTGAGCCTCCATGTCATTCACCATGCACCATAACGATGTGTGACACCATTGTCAATCTTCTTATTTCCTTGGATAATAAACCCAAGATACTTGAATCTTTCTTTCTTTTGGATGACATGTGCACTAAGCCTCACTCCACACCAACCTCGGGCTTGCATCGCTGAATGTGTCCATATATACATCCACCCCGTAATCATGGTTAAGTTGTATGCATTCTCACTCTAATTTTTAACTACTAAGGTTAACGTACTTGATTTGTATAAACACCTGGGGTGCGTAAGTATTTACCCAAACATCCCTTGGGTATGAAACAAGAATGTTCAGCTCAATTGGTATAGGTGTATTTACGTCTGGCACTCCATAAAATTGATGTATTTTGAAAATCAAAGGATGGAGTTCGCCAAAAATATTATCTAGTTCTGAGTCTTTTATTTGTGTATTGACAACCTCTAAACTTAGTCCATGTCAAAAGGACTTGATTTTTAACTCTTAACAGGAGGTTGATATTTGTTGGCGCTGAATTCATAAGATAAAATTGACACCTTCCATTCTCTTTTGTTTATTCTTTGACCTGATGCAACATTTGCCCTGATCTTTTGAGAAAATTATTTAACCCCATGAGGATGTAGATGGATAGTGCAAATTATATTCAACTATGTGAGTATTCTTGATCTATTTCTTTATAATTCTTAGATGTTCGACTTTTTTCAGTTTAATATACCACATCAGTATATGCATAAAATGCTTTTGGTCTATCTTCTCTCTTGTTCTATATTTTCTAATCTTATATATATCTTGTCTTGAGTTTGCCAAGTATTTAGAATAGATTTCAGCGTTGTTGGTGCTTTAATTTTTATATTCTCTTTGTAGTACTCCAAATTTAATCCTTTCAAATTGGGAATGTGATAGTTGGGAACTGTGGGGAATAAAGTAATAACAAAAATGAATTTTGGACCAAGCACCTTAGGTTCTTCAGCCACTTCAGATGCTGTTAAGATTCTTTAAGTTCATATTGTCCTGTAAATCTCCTCCACAATGCCTAGCATAACTAAGAATTCTTGAGATCTCCACTACTGTTTCAATGTGTTATGTGAAAAATCTCTTTTCAAAGTTGTAGACTTCAAGATCTTGTAAGGATATGATATCTGTAATCATATCTATGATCCTTAATAACAATCTCTATTCTACAAGTATGCATAGGGATAAATAAGCATGTGGGCGCTAAAAGATAAATTAACAATCCCTGAATCCTGAGGAATAGAGATAGTGGACTTCTTAGGAGTACAGTTGACAATCCAACCGAAAAACAGATAGTGGACTTCTTAGGAGTTCTCTAATTAATGTATTCCTCAGCATACCCTTTATGTTGGCCACCATCAAAGAAGTGTGATTACATTGTTCTTTGCACCAAAAACTAAAATACAATTCCATTTGATCTGCCATCAAAATCCTTTAATTTCTCTCCTTCCATATGTTCCACCAACTGCAAGCTGGTACCATTTTCCACCAATTTTATTTTACTCTTACATCCCACCTTTTCTAATGTAGCAGCTTAGCAAGTGTGCATTATGTTCTGGCATTGTCCAATCCTCCCTAGCCAGACAGAAAAAGATTGCCCAGATTGGAGATGTTACCTTACAATGAAGGAATAAGTGACTGTTAGTTTCTGCTGCCTCCATACATAAAGAGCATCTAGATGTTATCTGGATTTTCCTCCTCTGAAGTGTTTCATGAGTGAGACATGCTTTCTTTATTACTATTCTTGAAAAGCATTTCACCTTTGTTGGTGCCATGCTTTTCCATACATAAAGAGCATCTAGATGTTATCTGGATTTTCCTCCTCTGAAGTGTTTTATAAGTGAGACATGCTTTCTTTATTACTATTCTTGAAAAGCATTTCACCTTTGTTGGTGCCATGCTTTTCCATACATAAAGAGCATCTAGATGTTATCTTGATTTTCCTCCTCTGAAGTGTTTCATGAGTGAAACATGCTTTCTTTATTACTATTCTTAAAAAGCAGTTCACCTTTGTTGGTGCCATGCCTTTTCCATATAGTTTTCCAAGGGGGCTTTTAAAACTTCCTGTCATCTCAGATAAACCCCTGTTGTATACTCTAATTAATAAGAAATATCCATCTTCATTGTGCCCCCATCTGATGGAGTCGGGAGTAGTGGTGTCGTCCCTGTAAAATTTCCTATCCTTTCTAGTAGTTCAATCACCCTTTTCACTTCTCAATTATCCAACAATCTCCTGAAAATTAGATTCCATCCCTGTGCTGACGAAGTCTCTTCTATTGTCATATCTGGATTGGTGCTGATAGAAAAAAGTTGGTTTCTGGTGACCAACGTATGAGCAAAGACCTGTTTTTCCCTGGAAGACATTATTGAGTCCTATACATAACATGTCAAACACTGATTGTGTAGTTTGTTTCTCAATGTTTAGGTTCCATTTACTATCGACTATATTATTCAAACACTTCCAACTGTTTTTTCTGTAACGTTATGTTGGGCGATGTGGCCAAATTGGTTCTCATTATGTGTATGTCGCAGATATACATCCTAATACTGATAATTATTCTGATAATTGCCACTGGTTGTTGATGGTTACTTCGTTTACCCAGATTGGTTGTTGATAAGATTAATTTGTGCATTTCTCAATTGGTGCTTGTGATTATTGCTTGAAGTGATGGATCATGTGACATCTAATAGTTGTGGAGAGGAGGATAGGTATGCTTTAGTGAGAAATTTAGCACATTAATGTGTTTTTCTTAAGGGGGGACTGGATAATCTACTCGAAAAACTAGGCAGGTCCATTATTCATCGAGTTTGGTAGAGAAAGTTGCTGACCATTCAATAGATCTAGACGATAACCAATAGCTTAGGAGGTAAAGAGACTGAATTCCCTCTACCTCCGACTTGGGGTTAATTATCCATTAAGACTTACATCCCAAGTTTTAAACTTTGAGACCTTTAGTTAAGACAGAAAGATTTCAAATATATCGTTACTCCTCGTCATAAAGATCTTTCGTTCTCATAGTTCGACTCAATGGTCAAGTGTGGCAGAAGATTGATGCAACAATGTGTTGAACTGAATTTAACAGTGTTCATCCAAAACACGAATATACGTGAAAAATTACGAAATATTTAGGTTGAATTCATCGAGTTTAAAATTTGCATTTACTCATAGTTTGGTTGAAAATTGCATTCCACTAGATAGACTGAGGCATTTCAGGTGGAGTTAGCATTGCTGCATTTGGTCAGAGCACGTGTCATTTTATCATTGGTCACCAAGAGTAAACAGCATCTGCCCAAGCCTATTCAGCACGTGGCTTCTGTCTAACTATTCTACTAACCATTCAAACTTTTATCTTTTGTTTCGGTGTCTGATATCCGTATTGAATTCCTGCATATTCAAATCATGTCGTGTAAATTCATGTAAGTGGAAAGTCGCTTCGTAACATGATTTTTTCATATTCATGATTCGAACTCAAGATTTTTGGTTAAAAAATGGAGCAATCAACTTCATTTTCTAGAAGCTTCTTTCTTGAATGAAACTTATATATCCTTTTCTTTTTATTTATTTCATCTCTTCACGTGTGTGATTTGTTGTGTAGCTTACATCTTTTTGAGCCCATATATCAAATCCCAAGAATTCACCACATCAATAGTTATTATAAATAATAAATACCAACACTCAATGCCAATATAGTTATTATATGTGTTGTGAAAATAGGAAGGCTCTTTCATGTTAGGTGTCCAGATCTATTATATTTGAATTTTATTTTCATCACATTTGCTATTATATCTACTAACGCTTCGTTCTAATGTAACATATTTTGATAAACAAGAGATATTTTTATCTGCATTTGCACCTGCACCTTAGTGAACGAATTAGTTCGCGTATAATTCGTGCAGAAAGGTGTAGGTGTTCATGCAGACAAAAATGGTATCTTGGCCTCCCATTAGTTTCCCAATCTTTACCTTTCAAAGTTGTTGCACTAAGTGTAAGCATTGGTTGAATCTGTGTTGATGGGAGATGGTAGTATCCAACGAATTAATCGAGGTAAGCATAAGTTGACACTTATTTTTTCAATCGTAAAGAAAATATTACGATGGTTGGTTTGATTTCCTTATCAAGATTCTTGTTTGATTTGTCGATGCAATAATATGATTATTTAGGAATTCGACGCGCAACGAGGCAGGCCCGTCTAGTCCTATCGGGATGATAATGGATATCAATGGTGTTGTTTTGAAGACGATTAATTGCTTCTACACCATTAAAGTTTGTGGTGGAATGAATATGATTTCTCCACTTAAAATATAATCAGATATTTGTCTTCGAGCTGTAGGATGGTAAAATATCCCATTATGGAACGCTTTCCCTTTTAATTGGCGATAAGGCTCCGTTTGGCCATAGATTTTTCAAATAAAAAGTGGAATTTTTTTAAGCAAATAGTGTGTCTATATAATTTGCTATTATTTGACGAATAACTCAAATTTTCAGTTACTAGAAAAAATTAGTGTTTTGGGAGCTTGTAAAATTGAAGTTTTACACCAAACACATCCTTTAGAGTAGTTGTTTGCATTGTATCACATAATTTTTTACATGAACACCAAAGGAGTGATGGAATATTCAATAAATACGAAAGCGATGATATGATTGTTGCGGATCAGGGAAATAACGTCACGTGCTTCATCTACTTCACGATGTATGAAATGATGTATGTCGCACTCTCTCTGAACAACCACTACTTGTTATTTGTTGCAACAAAGATTCAACTAACTTTGTGGTGGAGTCATGAATCTTTGTTACATTGACGTTTTTATCTTGTTATATAATACAAACTTATGGTTATTTTTGATAGTTTTAAGACTTATGAGTGTAAATTATATTTATTAAAAAATAAAATATATTTCTCAAATATTATAGCCAAACTCATTGTGAGATTTCGCCCGAATCTTCATTCAAATAATATTGTCAAAAATGTTTGAAAATCTATGATCAAACATTAGAGAAGTGACATATTTGGACAAATATTTAGTAAATGATCCTCCTTTTATTTTTTATTTTTACAATTTCTAAACCTATGTAAAAATCTCTTTGAAGAAAACTAAAAAAATTATAAAACCCCAAGGTCTAATCTCATCAATCACTTAAGTTTATAAAAATACCTCACATTAGGCAGATATTTACCTAGCAAAAAGTATATAGTAAAATAAAATGATCAAAATAAATATTCTTTTCGTTTTAAAAAGAATATTTTTATTTCCTTTTTAGTTAGTTTCATAAAAAATGATCCTTTTCTTTTTTTGCAATACATTAACTTTTATTTTTTACGTGACATATTTAAGGTCATAAGATTAAAAAGTATTTTAGTACATATGACATAACTTTAATTTAGTATTATAAAATTAAAAAGTCTTTTTTCTTTTTTAAACTTGATTTCAAGTCAAACTAAATTATTCTTTTTCGAAACGAACGGAATAATAAGTTGTTTTGATAATTGGAACTGAGAGGTATGTGAAGAGATGATGAGCTATTCTTAGCCATGCACTTGTCAAGTGTATGAAAAACCTAATACTGAGTTGTCATTTTCAATAAATTTTCTTTCTTATCCTAAATAATTCACAGGACCAGCTGAACGGTATCTATTTATTGAGTTTAACATATATAAGGTAAGAATTTTGTAGGAATAATCTATAGTCGAAATTTTAGACATACGTTTATATTATATTAAGGTTTTATTATTTTTTTAAAATTTATTTTATTAATAATTATTTATTCCTTTTCGATCTACGTGATACTATCTTGTGGATTCAACGCTGGTTGACTTTTTTTTCAAGCTAGTGCCACATAGTCGAAATGAGATAGAAAATTACTTATAAAATAAGTTCAGGGGGGTAATAGGACCTTAGTATAGTATAAGCGTGTCTTTAAGATTTCGGACATAAATTAAGGGGTACTTGTGCATTTTCTCAATTTTTTACCATGATAATTTTAACTTGCAATCAGATGATTTAAGAATATATCGTAATAATATATTCAATGTGATTTTTTAAGTGAGGTTTAAAAAATATAGTATATATATAATCTTGCTTCTATGTTATAAAAATTGATAAAAATGTTATTTTAATAAACCTACTAGTCAAGTAAAATATATAAACAAATAAGTATGAAAATAAAATATAATAATAAAAAGGTTGTGTAAAAACAAAGGAGAAGAGAATATAGCAATAAGAAGTAATGTAATATCTAACAAGGGCAATATTGGAGTGTAATAAGAACAATAAGGTTATGGAAAACAATTCTCGACTCTAATCATCGATCTTCATATTTTTCTTCTAGGATCATGTATTCTTTAATAAGTCGTGTATGCATAAAATCATATCTAGTTACCTTTTTAAATATTGGTGGTTAAGGGATTGCAAAAATTATTCGAGGTTGTGTGTTTTATTTCACCATTCACACCTACTTGCTAGGCAACTATGCATCTCCTCTTCATGTGTCCTAACTATCTCCGTCCACCTTCATCATTTTGTCTATAAATCACTTTTAACTTATCTTGAATATCTTCATTTTAATTTTTATCTCTTATAATATGAGTACATAATCATCTTTTTTCTTTTTTTGATAAAATATTCACACATCCATCTTAATATCTTTAAATTTTCTATATTTATTTTCTGGATGTGTGAATTGTTAACTGACCAACATTATGTCACATACAACATAGTTGGGTCAAACAATCACTTCATAAAACTTACCTTCAAGTAATGGCGAATATTTTTATTACACAATCCACGATATGTGAGCTTCCACTTCATCCATTTCTTCTAATATGGCATATAGTAACACTATTATTCTCTTTATTTTCTTGAATTACTAACATTAAATACTTTGAACTTCCTCACTGTGTGGATATAAGTTGTGTCAAAATCCTCACTTTCATGTATTTCATGTAAGTTATGTTTAACTTAAACACTAATTTGTCTTTAAATCATCAACATATTATTAACTCCGCTCATACTCGTATAAATTAATTATACGAAGAAAAAAAATATAATCAATATATTACATCAACAATAGTATACCTTATTAAAAAAAAGAGAAAAAAAGGCAAGCAAATATATAGTTTTGGTAGATTTTATGTGAGGATTATCATTTTTATAATCAAATAATAATGTATAAAATTATGCAAATTTTAATGTTCAACTCTACTCTAACCAATAATTATATCTATTAAAATAATAATAATAATAATAATAATAATAATAATATTTCAACTTCAATAATAATAATCTAAACAAGAGCACGACCAAAGCGACGCCGTCTTATATAGGAGCATATATATATATATAAATTCCCCTTTGAAATCACAATCTAGGGTTTCAAAAAAAAATTCCCAATCCAATCGGTAAAACCCTAATTCGCAGAGAGGGAAAAAATGGGAGGAAAGTGTCCTCACAGGAGCGTGAAGAAGCGTAGATACTCTCACAAGCAGTTTCGCCGTGCGAAATTCCTTGTCAAAGGAGACGATGCTGTTTACGATGAGCTGTTAAAGCCGGAGGAGCAACGGAAAGAGTTGCCCGTCGACGAAGATCTTCCCGGAATGGGTCAATACTACTGTATGCACTGCGAGTAAGATAAACTTCGCTGCTTCAATTTTCGTGAAGTTTGATTTTTTTTAATTTATAAAAAATGACTTTTTTTTGTGTGTGCGTGTTTAGTCGATATTTTGCAAATGTTACTGTGAGGGATGAGCATTTCAAGACGAAGAAGCACAGGAAGCGGTATGATGTTAATTGATTTTAGCTTAACTGTGAAATAATTGGAGCAAAAGATACTTTTTTTTTATTGATTTCTTATCGCAACAACAACATACTCAGTATAATTTCATAGGTAGGGTCTGAGGAGGGTAGTGTGCGCATATCCTTGCCCCTGCCTGGTGAAGGTAGAAAGGTTTTTTCTTTAAGGATATATTCCAGGTTCAAGTAAAGAATAATAACAAGTATTGAAAGGAAATACGTTAGTGAAGAAGTCATGCTAAAAATGAAGTAGGAAAGAACAGTGGAACTACAAATAAAAGGGTAATTGAAGCAGAGGAAATAAGCAATTATTGATTTGTTATGGGATGAGTTTGTGTGAATGGATTGAAGTTAGGTGAGGATAGTTTCTTCTGATTATTACTGCGAGGTAATGAAGCTTAAATGCTGAGAATTGATGATTTTCTTGTAAATTGATTTCCTTTGACTTGTTTATAGAAAGCTATTTGTAGGAGACAAAGTAATTGTATTTAGTCTAGAGACTAGTGAGGGTACTGTAGTTGAAGGCAAACTTATTGACTTGAGAAGGATTAGAAGCTAAAAAAGGTGTTTCAGACTTTCAGTTAGATGTAGGTGTCTCAAGAGTATGGCATAGCAATCAATGAGTTGAGTAAAAGCAATGAAAGTCCATGTCTTACATTCCTGCAGAAACAAGAATTGTTTGGGTGATACATTCCATTTGCCTTGGCTTTGGTGGAAGATTATCCGGTATTTATGCGAGTTGGTGGTACTTGATGAAATAGTCAAGGTGCACTCGTTGCAAATAAGAATTAATGACTAGATAGTGATATTCCTTCAGTATAAGACATCTTCATCCTAAAGAGAATAAAAAGTTGGATGGGCCCAAACATCGTAATTAGGAAGTAGACCCTTTTTATTTTGATCTGTAAGGAGTAACTTTTGTTATTAAGACACCAACAAAAGGTGATGCTGGGATAGTTACATCCAGAAGGAAATTATTGCAAGTCGTAGTAATGAGCTATCCAATCAACATAGGTACCTACCCAATTGCCTTTGGGTGACATTCTGAGTGAGACAATCAGACATGGAAGAAGCTGGAGGAGAGCTTCCGAAAATTCCAATCAACTTAGGTTGCTATCCATTTCCCAATATTTTGGTTTCTCCTGAAAGATGATAATACAGCCATATCCCGTCTTTAAAAAACGATCAATTGTTTTGAATGTAATGAACTGTATTAATTAGGAAAGAGCCATGCCTTTCCAGTCCAAAAACTTGTTTTCCTTTTTTTTTTTTGAGAAAACCAAAAACTTGTTTTCCTACCATCCCCCTTTTGTTGGTGAATTCTCTTGAAAGAAATCTGACATAGCCTTGATGCATTTCCAGATACCTTGACCAAGGGAACGAGGAGAAGAAGTTTACCTCGATCAACCAATTCCTTTGCAAATTTAGAGCCTCTTAAGAGAAGGGGAATATATAATAGCGCTTTGTCTGTGTATCATATCATTCCTTATTATGAAGTATAACAAACTCGGTAAATTGCAAACTATGATGTCCCACACAGTCCAATAGGAGTAGAGACAACCTTCTCTAAAATTCATTTGAACTGACAAACTGGGTGGAAAGCATGCCTAGCAACAACTAAACTAGCTAAAGATTTCAAAGGAAACATGGTCCTTGACCATCTTGATTCTTGCATTTTTGCCATCAAATTTTCCTACAGATACAGGTCAATGATCTAACTTACCAGAACCATGAAGTTTATGAGTCGAGGACCATAGAGATGTGCTTTTAGGGTTGTATATTGAAGACTGAAGACCATCTCAGCTGCTTGTATTACACAGTAACACATACCTGATAATTTGCTGTTAAACCATTTTGCCAACAAATAGTACTAGCTGATTGTCTAGAGAGTTAGATGTGTGTTACTTTCAAAGATGGAAGAACAATAGTACTCCCTCCGTCCCATTTTAGTCTGTCCCTAAAAGAATGTCACCTTACTATAATTAGAAACAATTTAACTGTAAAATTCCTCTTTTACCCTTAATGAAAGGATCTACAACCACGCAAGTATCTAAGAATTATTTAGACCACAATTTCAAAAGTCGTCCTTTTCTTAAACATTGTGCCAAGTCAAACGGTGCCACATAAAATGGGACGGAGGGAGTATTATTCTGTTTTTTTAATTATAGAAGAACTTCTAGTAGTGAATTTGGCAGTAGTACTTGCTTAGTGTTCTTTGCAAGTTACCTTTTTATTCTATCCTGGTTGTTTTGACAGCATTGGGTCAACAAATGCAAATAGAGGTCATATACATCGTAGAGCCTGTGCAGTCTTTCACACTTGCATGGACAGGGTGAAAGAATAGATTAGCAGCTTTTTGCAAGTGAATGGTGAAAAGAGAATTGGTTATAAATAATGTGTGAAGTCTTGAACATACAAATTGTGTTTTATTCGTCTATCAGCTTCTCTATTTTCTTTGCATTGTCCAAGTAGGGATTTCTTGGATAATTCAACATGTCTCACATGGTAATTGGAGGATTTTGTTTCATACGTACAGCTTAAAACATTAACGTAACAGAAACATAGATGTTACAACTTGAAAATGTGATACTCTCATTATAAGTTGTAAACTGAGATGGTCGGGAACTGCATATCCAATTTGAAGTGTATATGATGCTCCAAACACACAAATTTGACTAATGAATTGTGAATCCGTAGCTTTTTAGTGAGTATAGTTGGTAGTCTGAATAGTTCTGTACTTTTGTTTATGCAGTGTGAAAATAATGATGGGCCCTCGACCGCACACCCAACTTGATGCCGACTTAGCTGCTGGAATGGGCATGCCAGATAATGGTCCAAAGCTAATGTCAATGAGTTAGAGCTTCCCCCCTCCTGTTTACAACTCATTTGACACTGGTAGAGGAACCGTCTCTCCGTCTCTCTCCGTCTCCCAGTATAGTAAGTTTAGAAGATACCTAGCAGAGCACATTACCTTGGTGTTTCTTGTTTGGCCTAGATTCGCTGAGATGATGCTAGCTAGTGACTACCTACTATGTTTTGTTTCTACTGTATCAAAACACAGATTGCTTAAAGAACCGCCGTCTTTGAATCTATATGTCAATTTATTCAATTTGGGTTCGATAGCTAAACGCTGAAAGAGCAGTAATTCGTTCAGTTTTCGTTGAACTGGAATAGTGCTTGATCCATCTTACAAGATGTATCCTATCTAAATTTGTGGAAACTGAAAGTCATATGAACCTTATAATGAACAAAATAACATGTTTAACTATTAATTATTATCGTTAACTGTGGAATAATGTAGTACTTGTGATGGTAGAAGGTAGCAGATATCGAATAATTATGTGCAATTGCAGTAATAATTGAGTGATGCTATGGGGTTAATCTTTTTTTTTTGTGTGTGTGTGTTTTGTATTAGTTATAATGTAAACATTCTATTATAGTCAATTAACACAAACAATAATCTCATATATAGTATATCCTAAGGCTTAAAGGTACAAAGTTGAATTAATATTTTACTAATATTATTTCATTTTTAAGTTAGGACCAATTTATAAATGTCCCAATTTGGGTAACATTAGGCAATGTGTATATCATATACATTTATCTTAGTTTTCTTCTAGTTGTATATATATATATATATATATATATATATATAATAACGTAAACGTAAACG